CATGTGTGCGTGCCCAAGATACCAATAGGAGAATAGAGGAGAAGGGATTGCGGCGTGGCCATCCCCCAGGGAGTGATTTCTCACTTTCTGTCTCTCTCTGTCTTTCTGGCGAGTGTACACGCCCTATAGCAAAACCTCTCAAAAAAATAAATAAGAATTTTGAGCACACGTGCACATGGCATAGTTTTCATATTGCTGGGCAGGGATTCGAACAGCATGTCTGGCCGTGTGGGAATCTAGCTCCTTGAACCACTAGGCCATGGTCTACCATACAGTAGACTCTTAAAGTATTTCATTGCCTTCTCATCCTCAGCAGTTATTTGAATTTGGTTTCTTTCTTTCTTTCTTTCTTTCTTTTTTTTATTGCCCGGGAGTCGTGTGCCCTTAAAAAGACCGGGAGACCGGGCAGGGTGGGGAGAAGGAGAGCAACCCCCAGTGGGGTGTGGTTCGTCTGCAACTCCTCCTCCTCCGTTTCGTCATCCCGTTGGGATTGGGCACACACCCACATGCATCCAGAGTGGTTTTTTCTTCTTTTTTTTCTTTTTCTTTTTTTGGGGGTGCTACAGGGTTCTTGTGCTCCACAGAGAGGGGCAAAGAGGGAGAGGAGAAAGCACCCCCCAGGGGGAATGGTCATGTTGCAATCCCTTCTCCATCTCGCGCTCCCTTTGGGGATTGGGGAACACACATGGCACCCAGCGTGTTTCTCAAGCCACTGGGTCAGACTATGTCGTCATAGTCAGCCGTGTGGGATCTGGTGCCCTGGCCTCCAGGTCACACAGCCAGCCTGTGCCCACCGGGTTTTTCTTTTCTTTCTTCTTTTTCTTTTTATTTATTTATTTGTTTGTTTGTTTGTTTGTTTATTTATTTTTTGAGAGATTTTTGCCATAGGGCGTGTGCACTTGCCAGAGAGACAGAAAACGAAAAATCACCACCCAGGAGAATGGCCACGCCACAGTCCCTTCTCTTCCATTCTCCTCTTTGGATTTTGGGCACACGTGCAGACGTGCCCAGCGTGAGTTTCAAGCTGCCGGGTCTGGACTCCAACTGTGGCCAGCCATGTGGGAGTCCAGGGCCTTAATCACTATGTCACCGGCTGGTTCCTAGTTGTACTTGTTTTCAACATCTGATTAGATTTATTTCCAATGAGCTCTTTAAAGAAACAATCTGTAGTCTATGTTTTTGTTTTTGTTTTTTTTTAAATGTGCTCACATTGTGTAAACTTTAAAAGTGAGGAGAACAGAATGTTCTTATTTAGAAATGCATGCATTGGTGGTAAAAATAAATGTGAACCAGGAAATGGCTTCCATGAAAACCAGAAAGAGCTGGGAACCAGCAGTTAGCGTCATGGCTATGTCGCTGGACTCCCACGTAGTTGACCGCGGTTCGTGTCCCCGACCCGGTGGCTTAAAACTCACGCCGGGCACGTGTGCGTGCGTGCCCAAGATCCCGAGAGGAGAACGGAGGAGAAGGGATTGCGGCGGGACCATCCCCCCTGGGGGGGGATTTCTCGCTTTCTGTCTCTCTGTCTCTCTCTGTCTGACTGGCAAGTGCACGCGCCCTACAGTGAAAATCTCTCCAAAAAAAAAAAAAAAAGAGCTGGTCAGTGGGCAGTGTGGCTGGTGAGGAGCTTGTGGGGCGTCTCTCGGGGCTGTGGTGGTCTGCTTCTTCACCTGGTGAGTTCCATCAGCATTGGCTTCTGTAACACTGATGACATCGGACAGAGGTGTTTCATGCCCTTTTCCAGATGTTTTATTTCAGTTTCTGTTTTTAAAGAGGCTTTTGCCTTAGGGTGTGTGCACTTGCCAGAGAGAAAGAGACAGATACAGAGAGAGGAAGAGGGAGAAATCACCCTCCAGGGGGGATGGCCACGCCGCAGTCCCTTCCTCACTCTCCTCCTGGGATTTCGAGCACGCAGACACATGGCTGGTGTGAATTTCAAGCCTCTGGGTCTGGGACTGGACTGCAGTTGGCCATGTGGGAGTCCACAACATAACCGCTGTGCCATCTGCTGGTCCCTTACTTCACAGATTTCAAATGACTCAAACAGTAACCCATCTTTCTAAATTATGAAACGTTCTCAAATGTGAATTTCATTAAGGGTTGTACAGTATAGACACACAAAATTATGAAACATTCATTCTCTTCAAATGTTCATTTGAGTCCTTTTTTGCAGATTGAGTTGCTTGTATCTGAGTGTATTTTCAAGATCTTTCAGATAAATCTCCTAATTTTATAGTTAAGGAAATTGAGGCCCATCAAGGAGGCATTTGAGTGGAGTGGAGAAATGCAGAGATTAAAATCAAAGTGTTTAATTGGGAAGCCCAGGAAATGGAGAAGTAAGGAATGGATAATTTACACAGAATTTAATAAGACATTTTAATTTTTAATCATGGAACTTGATTTTTAATAACAAACTGAATGTAGTAACTTAAAAATTGTTTTTGTAGGATGGCAGGAAATGGAACCATTGCCTTCTCTGCAAAAAGTGTGTAAAGCCTTGTAAGTATGGAGACTTAGTGTTCGAGATCCTATGGGAACATTTCAGAGTTTTTCTTCATATAAATAGGATTTTTTTTTTTAAAGAAGATTTTTGCTATAGGGAATGTGCACTTGTCAGAGAGACAGAAAGCAAGAAATCAACCCCCAGTGGGGAAGGCCACGCTACAATCCCTTCTTCTCCAGTCTCCTCTCAAGATTTTGGGTATACATGCACACATGCCCAACATGAGTTTTAAGCCGCCAGTTCTGGGACTCAAACTGCAGTCAGCTACATGGGAGCCCAGAGATGTAACCATTATGCCATCTGCTGGTCCCTAGATAGAATTTTTCAAACTGTATTTATTTCAGAATTTTTTTTCCCATCTAATTAGGATTTTTATTTAATTTACTTATTTTATTCAATTGTATATAGAAGAAAAATAATGTAGAGACCCACCTTAATTAATTTGCTTTTTAATTTTTACAGTTAGCAGCATGTATGTCCTCTCCTTCATAGGGGAGAGGACTGCTGATCTCTTGCAGTGTGGCATTTGTTTTGACTTACTTTAATAGAGCTGTGTGTCACTCCATCAGCCTCTGTTGTGACAGTGACTGTCAGCTCATGACTTACCGGGGAAGGACCGAATTTGATGCCATAGAATAGAAAGAAGTCAAGTATTGGCTTGTCAGAAAAGTCACGATGCATTTTTGCACAGAAAAATGTCATGACAACCTCATAGTTTAGTGGGATTCCAGTCTCCTCTCTTTGGTCACTTTAGCCAAGTGATAACTGTGCAAACCATCCTTAATATTTCAAGTAAACACTACCCATGTATCCTACCTTAGAAGTCAATAACATGAAGAGTTGTGTTAACTGCACTTCTGACACTTCACTTTTATTTTGCAGCCTGGGTCCACTGTACTATCTGCAGTCACTGTGCTCTTCCAGATCATTCTTGCGAGGGTCCCAAGGATGGCTGCTTTATCTGTGGTGAACTGGGTCACAAACGCAGCACCTGTCCTAACATCTCCACATCGAAGAGGCCTAACAAGTTAGTTGCATCCTTTTATTTACTAGAAAAAGTCTCCTTCTGTGCTCTGTACAGTTCAGTCTGCAGCAGTGTGGAGCATTGCGAGGATTCAAAAGCTCTGAATTAATTTCCCCTTTCACTGTTATGTAGGGCTTGCGTAGGGGGAGGATACGAAGATGAACTGAAGCGTTTACTTTCAAGGAGCTCACAGTTTTACCAACTAGACACAGAAATCACCGCTGCGTGAGGTCGAGAGCCATGAACTTTGCATATCCTGTGGCTCACACAGAATTACTGGTGTGAGGGGCCAGCAGATGGTGTAATGGTCACATTGCTGGACTTCTATGTAGCTGATCACAGTTCAAGTCCCAGATCCAGCGGCTTAAAACTCACTCCAGACGTGCGTGTGTACGTGCCCAAAATCCCAAGCGGAGACTGGAGGAGAAGCAATTGCGGCGTGGCCATCCCCCTGCTGGGTGATCTCATGCCTGCTTTCTCTGTCTCTCCAGCAAATGCACACACCCTACGACAAAAATCTTTCTGAAAAAAGAAGTATTGGTATGAGAGTTCAAGTGTTACTGGAGGCCAGGATAGTTAAGTCAACCACAGTGGGACGATCTGATGCAGACAGATGGCAGGAAAGGCAGGAGAAGACGTGTCCGATAGAGCGCGGCGTGTAATTCCACAGGAGGTAGTGTGCAAAATGAAGTTGTTTTTTGAAATTGTATCACATTTCAAGAAAAATATGTTGCATGCTTAGTACTTAAATATTTAAAAATTTAGTTACTATTTTTTTTCTATGATTGTTTTTCTCTCTCTCACCAATATTTGTGTTGATTGTAACTCAGAGCAGGGGTGTACTCATGACAAGAGAGTGATTAGGAAGACTTTTTTTTTGAGAGGTATTTGGTGTAGGGTGTGTGCGCTCACCAGAAAGACAGAGAGAGACAGAGACAGAAAGTGAGGAATCAGTCCCCACCCTGGAGGGGATGGCCATGCCGCAATTCTTTCTCCTCCATTCTCCTCTTGGGATCTTGGCCATGCATGCACGCATGCACATGCACCCAGCATGTGTTTAAGCCACCAGGTCCAGGACTCGTACCGCAGTTGACTATATGGGAGTCCAGCGACATAGCCATTACGTCAACTGGTGGTCCCATGGAAGACTCTTGCTGTTTTGCCTGGGCTAATTTACATGGTTACACTTAAAAACCAACAGCAACAACAACAACAAAACCTCAAGGGGATCAAAGGGATTAAGTTCCTGTGTCTTATTGGTAAGAGAACCTTACCTAACATAGTCATTCGTTCCCAGAGTACCACATAGCCAAATTGAATATTATATGAAAATTAAGATTAGAATAAAACTTTGGAGCTATTATGACTTGTGATGACGAAACCTTGATTGTATTAGAAGTAAGTACCCGGTTCTTTAGTAACTGTACTCGTATTACAATTGTTTTCTATTTGCTAGGTCATCGGGAAAGTCATGACATTTTTCTATGTTCTTCTAGGCAAAAATGTGTTGTGATTTTCCTGATAACCCAATATGTACTTTTTTGCTCAGTTACAATTACTTTTTTTCTGAGCTAGTTGGTGGTGTGGAGGTTGAGGCAGCCAGATCCTACACGGCAAACGGTGGGGTTCAAGGGCCGGACCCAATGGGTTGAAAAACACACTGGACACACGTGCGTGTATGCCCAGAATTCTAAAAGGAGGACAGATGGAGAAGGGACTGCGACGTGACATCCCCCCGGGGGTGCTCTCTATCTCCCTCTTTCACTCCAGCTAGTACATGTCCCCCTCTAGGAATTTTTTTTTTTAATTACTTTTCTCATTAAGGCTCGGCAGCTTGAATTCTGCTTGTTATTTAAACTGCGTCTTCCATAAATTTACTCTACTCTAAATAATGATCTTGACTAAGTAATCCAGTGAAGAGGTAGAATATTTTAAAATTAATTAAAGAGGCTTATTGAAGAATCTTGTAAAATACATTTCCTTAGGAGGCCAGCCTGTAGTCCAGAGGAAAAGGGAGCCAGAGCCCACATAACTGACGGTGGTTCAGATCCTGGCCCGGTGGCCCCAAAGGGTCTCTACGAGCACACGCACCCTCTGGAAGCTCATTTCTCTTTTTCTCCTTAGGAAGCCTTCAAGAATAGAATACAACCTAGTAAGCTTTATAGCCTGAGGTTTTTACACCATTTACAGTGTAATTCTGGGTGGAAACAACAATCAGTTATGTTCTCAGCCTTTGTTTATTTATTTTTCTTTTAATCACCAGAGAGAGAGACAAGAGAAGCAGAGAGAGAGAGAGAGAAAGCACCTGCCAGTGGGGTGTGGTTGCACTGCAGTCCCGTCTCCCTTCACTCTCTTTGGGTGTTTGAGCACGCTCGTACACATGCCTGGCGTGTTTTTTAAGCCACCAGGGCCAGGATTTGATCTGTGGTCAGCCGGGTGGGATCCGGCTCTCGTAGGCTACAGGGTCAGCCCCGTGCTCAGCCTTTGAATCTATGAACTTGTCATATATGGAGACTCCATTTGCATTTGGTAAAACAGCTTTCCTTGGTTGGGTAGTAATATACTAATTTCATTGGAGGAAACGATCTAGTATCTCTCAGTACTAGATTCTATCCGGATTAATCCCGAGAGCAAACCCCTGGCGCTAATCGTTCTTAAACGAAACGCTGGCTTCTCTCAGAGAAGACGCCTAGGCTGTGCCGACCAGTCACTGCTTTCACCAAAGTTTTGAAGTGAAACTGACAGGTGAGTTTCTTCTGTACAGGGGTAAAAAGTAATTTTCATAGCCTTTTCAGCATACGTGGCAGTAAAAGGTCTTTCCATCTTACGCTTTGACAGCTGTCCTCTTAGTTTGTTTTTCTTAGTGTTAATTTTCTTTAGTTGTGAACTATAGAATGATGCTGGCTCCCTCGTGTGGCGAAAGCTCATTTTTGGGTCAGTTTAATTTTAAGACAGAATAAAACAAATGATTGATTTATACTCATTTGGTTCATCACAGTCCAAAGACTTTAATCTCTAAGAAGCTAGGTTGTTTTATTTAAAAAAATTTTTTTTTTCCCTTTGTTGGAGGGAAGGGCTCATACACTTGCCGGAGTAAGACAGAGAGAGAGGGAAAGTGAGAAAGCATTCCTAGGTGGACGGCCACACTGCAGTCCCTTCTCCTCCATTTTCCCTTCAAGATTTGGTATGCCTACGTATGTGCGTGGTGTGGTTTACAAGCCGCCAGGTCTGGAGACCAGCAGATGGCATAATGATCATGTCACTGGACTCCCACGTAGTTGACCACAGTTCAAGTCCTGGACCTGGTGACTTAAAACTCAAGCCAGGTGCCTGTGTGTGCATGCCCAAAATCCAAAGGGGAGAATGGAGGAGAACTGTGTGGCCATCCCCCCTTAGGGGGTGATTTCCTATTTTCTGTTTCTGTCTCTCCAGCAAGTGCACATGCCCTGTAGTCCCATAGCAAAAATCTCTCTCTACAAAACAAAAAAAATGAGCCACCAGGTCTGGGACTTGAACCATGTGATCAGCCATTTGGGATCCAGCTGCCTCACCTCCTTGCCTTTGCTAGTCCGGAAGTTCTTTATTTTTAAATTCATATTACAAACAAATATTTTCCTCCTATTTTTGTTTATTGTGTTCCCTAGTTAAATGTGGTTCATTTTTAGCCCTCCTTATGAGCCAAAAAGAAATTAGTTTAAATTTTGTATACTGGCAAATGTGGATTCATTGCCTTTGTCATTAGAGATTATACCATACTCCATTAAACTTGCTAAATCATCATTTATGAGGAAATTATCCTACTTTTTAAAAGAACGGCTGAGGAAATGGACTTATATAATGCACATAAAATGGTATGAAGGTGACTGTTTGGAACTGGCAGGCTGTCCCAGTCCAGAGTGCGGTCTTCAATACGTAAAAATGTAAAGTTGTCAGGTCACGTTCTGCACGACGGCCATGTGGAGCTCCTAATGACATCCACTGTGTGTTGCATGATCAGAGTACGCTAGCGCTTTTACACGCCTGAGTGACTCGGAGCGCCCAGGCGATGAGTGAGGATCTGCAACTGAGCTGGTTCTGCCACTTCCTCGCTGCGTGATCATAGGACTTCATTACCTTCATTTCTCCCCCTCTAAAATGGTGGGGAGGAAGAATTACAGCTGCCTTGTCTCTGTCTCCCAGCCCCTTGAAGTCAGAGATCTCTTTCTCTTCTGTGTTCCCGACGTGTAACAGATGCCCGAATAACGGAAAGTCAGAGCAGTGCGTTAGAGGGCAACGTGCCGTGCAGGCGCTCCGGCTTCGTGCAGGGAAGACCAAGCTTCTGCTCTTCCTAGGAGAAGCTTGCTGTGGCACCTAAGAGGTGACTCGAAGGATGGATGTGGCCAGACAGCCGTGGGGATTTTCTGGGTTTGCCACTGCCATTGGCCACAGCCTGTCCCTTAATCTGTGACATGATGGATGTCCCTGCTCTGCCAGCTCAGAGCAGGGAGTGATAGGTCAGCAATGCCCCCGGTTGCAGGCGGCCTGCTCCTGAGTCCAGAGAGCACCAGAAGCGGGGTCTGTCGTGTCTGGTGTGGTTTGGTGTTTCTAGAGGGTGAGTTCCAACTTGATCCATTTGAAGCCAGTCTTCAAGAATGTAGGGACCAGGGCTGGCAGGTGGCAGGGTGCTTAAGGTGCTGGACTCCCATGTGGCCAACCGCAGTTCGTATCTAGGACCTGGTGCAACCGCAGGGTGGCCTGTTTTCTCACTTTCCCTCACTCTCTCCTCTCTGTCTCTCTCAGGTCAAATGGAAAAAAAACAAAGATGAATGAAATTAAATGGAATAATTCTGTTTTTAAAAAAGGAAAGGAATGTAGGGACCACAGACTATGGACACCCCGAGTGACTGTCTCGTCAGGACTTTTCCATAAATAATAACCAATTTTCATAAATTGCTTATTATTTATATTATTACTTTGTAAAATTTGCTATAGGACACATGTGCTTACCAGAAAGACAGAGAGAGGGGGAAAGTGAGAAGGCACACCAGCAGGCCTAGGACTAGAACTGCAGTTGGCCATGTGGGAGTCCAGCGCCTTAACCTCAATACCACCTGCTGACCCTGTCAATACCATATATATATTATTTTTCCTGTTAGGACTTTTCTTTTGAGTTATTTATTTATTTATTTCCACTTGTTATTATTATTAATTTTTTTAATTTGACCAGAGAGAGGCAGAGAAAGGGAAAGAAAGCAAGCCACCAAGTCCGGAATTCGAACTGCCGTCGGCCATGTGGGAATCCAGCACCTTTAACCACCTCACCACCTGCCAGCCCCTCCTATTAAGACTTTTTAAGATCTACTGAGGAAAGGGAAATTAGCTGTAAGACTTATAAAATGGGCCTTGTTGGAGACTGGCAGTTAGCATGGTGGTTAAGGCGCTGGACACTCCCCCATGGCCAACCACGGGTCAGGGCCCCGACCCGGTGGC